AGCAAGGTTTTACAGATTTACGGATGAATTCCGAGCGAGATTCAGTTGATTTACGATCGAATTCTCAGTTTTGTAATCGTTTCAAAGTCATCGAAAATCGCAATTGCAAAAAACTACTCTGTCGGATTACGAACGAACCAGTTTTTCTTTTGATTATCAGTAGGAAGTGATCAAGCTTATAAATTGTCGCTAGCAAAATATTTGAGGTTATGATCGATAAGTGAAAACTTTGAAACTTCAGGGTTTCTTACCATTATTCTTGAGTTCCCTGCAGATTGGATGGATGCTTTACAACTGCAAACGTAACTGCGCATATTGCATTATGAATTTTGCTAGTGTAAATAAGCCAAGCAACGTGTACGAATAATAAAGATGGCGTTTTATTGCACTTTTATGTAGTGAAAACACATTGTTACAAATAACATCCTTTCTCACACCTACATACAGTTTTACGGCAACTCATTAATTCACATTATACATATGGTTATTTGAATAAAATGGGATTATACATATTGGAATTATACACACATTTTGCATATTGTTACTGAAATGGAATCAATGGATAATTTATACATTTATGTGCAAATCAAAATATCTAGTGAGGAAGTTAGCCGAATGTAAATGTAAAAATGTGAATATAAATGTAAATTTTCATTGATCATCCCGAACGATCATTAACTTCATGCATTAAGTCAAGTTCATCTTATCTAATTTATCGTTTGCAGAAAATCCGAAGGGCATATTTCGAGTGAAGTTGACGATCGACTTCGCGAGCTTTCCATCGAAAATAGGAATGTTAAAGAACAGGTTGAAGTTGTTTACTTGAAGACATTGTCTGTTCAGTTAAGACAGTTGAATCGTTGTTGTTGTCTCGAATGAGATGCTTTGAAATCATGACAAACAAAGCAAATTGAACGGAATCGCTTTGTTCAAAGTCAATGCGGAAGTCATTTAAGGTGTTCCTTTTGCAAGAGCGAATTCGTGAGATACAATTAGACAATTCATCGAAAACGGCCGAAGTTTTGTCTTTGAAACGGGAAATCGAAGAAACGCAACGTGGAATGGTGAGTATTTTGTAACATATTTATGTGATTGTATCGCTCTTCTCCAGCGGTTATCCGCAGAGAGCAGCAAAATCGAAATCTCAGCATTGAAGAGCATGGAATCGGGCCTTCGACCTTACGGGGAGAGGACCATTTCGATCAGCACATATGCATGACATCTATCTCACTCCATTCGCAAAATATATAATGAAGCTTTTGCTGTGGATATATCTGATCATGGAGTTTCTCAATTTAGAACTCGCATACCTAAGAATTGATCTGAAGTAGAACTGAATCATAGAGTCCATGAGTTTTTCAATTAAAATTCGAAATTTGTCATAATTTTCCACTTTTCTTCAAAACTGAAATGTATTTAAGAAATTCTTTAGCGTTGAAATAGTAGTCTAGTGCCTAAAGGCTTTAGATAGGCCGCCTATGTTGAACAAAGCGATTATTATTATGCGCTGATTTGATTTAATGAGAGTTGAGGAGTGAGTATTAATGGCTATTGGGTGCTATTAAAGAGGATCACTTGGTCGGATGTTGTGATGTAATGAACAGACGATTGTCGATTGACCCCATAAGCGCTTTGCTTTAATGTTGCTATCAGCTGAGCGCCACTCATCTGCTCTTAAACTTCACTCTTCGTAATCTTCATAAGATGGTTGCTCTCTCGGACTGATTGTTGAATCGGTGATGAACTCTGTTCAGAAATGAGCATTTCCTGATAGAATTTTCGAACGACGGACTTATACTTTCATGAAATTGAACGTCCGTGCTCATTGTTGGCAGAATTTGCTTCGAGTTGACAAGAATGCTGAGTTCAGAG